CCCAAAATGTATCTCACGGGTTTTGATATTTTTTTTAAATTATGCAAATTAGGTACATTTTGGCAATTTCACTATGCATTTCAGTGTCTGCCTACGGTCAACGATAACTCAAGAACCGTTTAACCCACATGTTTCAAATTGCATACAGTTGTTACTCCTATGGGAGAGATTTGAACGTCCTATTTTGGAGCATGCCAGTCGACCTACTTTCGAGCCACGCCCACTTTTTAGCAAAAATAATCTAGATTCATTCGATTTTGTTAAAATGTGTAAAGCTAGCCCCAAAACAGTTGTTACTCCTATGGGAGAGATGACAACGTCCTATTACGTTTATTTCGTGTAACTAGTTAACAACTGTACAATCATACCTATATACGTGTAATATTGTGTTTTAGATTCTTCGTTACAGTAATTTAACTGGAATATTTTATTGTTTTTATTTGCGCGATATTTGAAAACCAAAATGGCGATCATTCAGGCATAGCACCATCTCTCGTCAAGATTTCCCCATCAAAACTTATGCATATATCATTATCAAGAGTATATAATGGGAGATATGCTATATAATGGGAGTTCTCCCATATATACTCTTGCTTTATATACCCCCCCCTCCCACTTCTATCACACCCAAGGTGAGCTACAGTGTCATTGACACTTTCATTTATTTGTCTTATTGTCCCTATCCATCAAGCATGAGGATCTGACTTCTTTTGCCTCTGTCCTATTCGTTGATCAGAACTAGCTACCCTTCGAATCTTTCTGGGCCTGTGATCCATAATTTTCCTTCACCCTCAATTCAGTTCATAAATTTACGTTTCCCACTCGAATGCTAAACACATTGAGTAATAATTGATATGCAATTTCAATGATCCACACATACACGCGTATGATTTCATAATGGTAGTCAAATGTGACGTTACTGTGCCATCTATTAGGTTAAATAATTTATAAAGTAAATCCTGCATCACAGAATTCACAAGTTTAAGAAAATATGTCATATGACAACATATCCCGTAACTCTCTGAATGTTAAATAGGTTGCCATCTACGTGGGATCCAATGCAGAACGATTATGAAGACCATGAGTATAACACATACACGAGTGGTCCGGGGGCTGGAATTCCTGGCAGAAGGACAGGCTCTCAGTAAGTGATGCATCACGTACACGGGCATTAGCGTGGTGCGTGCGCACGAGTGGGCCTGTGTTTGTGTTTATGTTTGTGTGTGTGCGTGCGTGCATGCGTGCATGTGTGCATGCATGTAATCAAGAGCGTATTAAGAAGGAGAGCGTACAACGGTGAAATGCTGAAACCATGTTGCAGTATTAGTCGAATTGAAAACCTTTGCCCGTTTTATTTTGACGATTCTTTGCGGTATTATTGATCAGCTGTCCTACCTTGCTAATAATAATATAAAACAAACCGCTTGTCCCTATGATGCCCCTACGCTGAGATAATGAGTGGTGAAAATCTGGTATTTTTGCCGAAAACCGACTCGAGATCCCGGTTGGCTGCAAGACTGCAACCCTCTCTCGCTTTGGGATAGCTTCGGGAAACCTCGCGTGTTTTCGTCAATGATTGGCAAATGGAACTAGACAGAGGGCACTCCCGGAGAGTGCATACCTCCGCGAGCATGTAACATGTATGTGTTACGAGCTGGCTCGCTGCTGGCTGCTGCTGACTGACTCGCCTGCTGCTGACTCGCCGCTCGCTGGTGGCGGCTGCTGACTCGCCGCTCGCTGGTGGTAGCTGCTGACTCACTCGCCTGCTGCTAACTCGCCGCTCGCTGACTCGACGCGCTATCGATCGCTCCGCGCGGGCTGTACACACACACACACACACACACACACACACACACACACACACACACACACACGACTACTACTACTTACCCTCCCTGCCAAACTCCGTTGCCGGAGATAATGAATTGACGTCTGTTATGATTGCATATGATAAACGCCGCACTGTGATCCCCTCCGCTTGGATGTGTAAACTCTGTAGTACTGACGTAATGAGTAGCGCTACCCATGCGAACACAGCGCGACCGGGCAAGCAACATACTGGCCACAGAACGAGTAGAGGTCGCAAGCCACGGGATCCGATCGGTTTCGCCAAAAGCCTACATTGTTTTACCGACTCATTATCTCAGCGTTAAGGAGCATCATAGGCAAGGCGTTTTTAGTATTAGTTCACGGGTAAATAACTTGAACAAGGACTCCCTGCCTCAAAAAGAGGAGTCCGTAGCAAAATGAGGGGGATTTCAAGGAATTTTTCACAAGGATCGCGATCCAGCTTAGACTGCTCTGCGTGGAGAGTTCCACACGCTGCACTAACTATAAACTTTAGTGTAGCGAAAGATACTTGGCCGAGTTAAGGTCCGTACATCTCTAGCGGATCGTGACGTGGGATTCTAATTATCGTAGCCATCTTGGTTTCCTTCACGTTGATTGGCTAGCCCGTTGATGTGTTTTGTTTAGACTGAGATTTGCACTAGATGTTTCTCTGGCAAAAAAAAACCCGCGCCGTGGCGTCAGCAGCAGCGCCGTATGTGCTGCCAAGAGCAGAATCAGTGCGGGTGCTGAAGGTCTACGAATGTTAAGAATTAACCGCGCAAACGTTTCTGCAGGTAAAAACTTTGTCATATCCGTAGTGAAACAGAGTAGGCCTAGCCTATAGTATAGAAACATTAAGAATTTTGTACTAAGTAAATACATTTACGGACTGTTGAATGAGTATTTGTTTTGAAATCGTATGAAATACAGCGTGTATTTAGTTAGCATTATATCTATTGAAACGCTTCAAGTGCTGTCTTCAGTCTACGTGAAATACCAAAAGCGTACGAATAGCATTTTTGCATATATTACATCGTCAAGCGTGCTGCTTATAGCAAAAACTCGTTACCCTGCGGTCGAGGGGGCCCTGATTGCTCTTGTGCTGAAAAAACTTTTGCAGAAAAACTTCGACTCGCCTGCTCGAAGTTACCTTGACGGTCCAACCCCTATATATACGCATATATAGCATGCACCGACTCCTACGGCTATCCGCAACGCCTGCCTAGGATATACTCAACATACTAGGCTACCTCTATGTGATTATTATGTGATTATTACGTCGTCATTGTTTGTATATAGGTGAACATTTCTATGTACATGAATAGAGGCATAGGCCCAAGGATAGAGAACATGGGTCCCAATAAAACCAATGTGCCTAACCCTTAACCCTAATTCTCACCCTAACCCTAACCCTAACCATAACCCTAACCTATTATATTGATA